TTGTTGAAAATAAAATAAATCGGAAAAGTGTTAAAATTTTTATGTTTAATTTTGAATCGGGCGTTACTTTTTGGGGGGGGTACTGTACGTACTACGTACGCCAAACAACATGCATTAACGTTAACGAACGCATAACGATAAAAAGAAGGCTCTATCGTTGTGTAAAGGCGTAATATGTCATTTAGTGAATACATGTAGTAATTATATTATCGTTATTATCATTTATCGTTAGTTTGACAAAAATTACCAAGTAAAAAATATGCAATTAAAAATAAAAAGATCCTTCATTGAAAGATGCACCCTTTGATCTGAGAAGGTTATTACCGTTAGGTTGAATTTTTGATCGCACATTTTTCATTACGACTATACAATTTTTATTTACATTTGTAATCTATATATTATAATTTTACTCAAAACCAACTGCTCTGCGGTTCTTTTATTTCTCTTTTATTAACAGCATACTAATCGATGACAAAGTTGCTAAACTTAAGGAAGGACACGGAGGTCTTCACGCAAAAAAGAGTTTCGCCAAAAAATAGAAAAAATTAGCAAAAAGAAATTAGTTATTTTGAGGCTTTTGAAGGCGACGACCTAAGCGGACTAACCCCCGTTCAAATTGACCTGTGACGATGGAATATAGAAGTTCACAGTTTAAAGTTTCTAATGTTGATGAATTGATTGCTGAAATAATTAAAGTTATGTAAAAAAAGTTTATATGCTTACAAAAAATAAATAACGATAGAAAGTCTAAATTTACACATCTACATGTTCATGTTCATGACCAGTTCTATAAAATTAATTTGATAAACGTTTTCGCTTTGGAACAACATGAAAAACTTCATAATTTTCAACTTTAAAATTTTGTTTCTTTCGATTATTCCCTTCAATGATACTATGTTCAAAATTGCAATGTCTGTACCAACACGTCGCATTAGCATTACACTTATTTCCAATCAATAAATCACCGTAAAAATATGGCCCGTAGGTAGTATGAAATCCGATTGTTTGATCGCTATCAACGCGACGAGAAAATTTCGCTGATGTGATATCACGAGGTTTTTCAAACGAGAAAATGATAGTGTCCGAATTGAAGATATGTTGCTCGTTATTAGGATAAAGGTATGAAGTAAGATTGCTGCTATTGTCTGCAATGTGACCTCCCCAATTGCTCGGATTATACCCACCAATTACTCTGTTTGTTCCATTAATCTTGGCTACGACCACTGTATTGGTTACATGCGCACAAAGTTCTCTGAATTTACTCGCTTCAAATCCGTCACGGCTACCTCGAAAGATTAAATTAAAGTCATAAGGATTTTTTCGTTTTACATCTCCCGAGGTTTCTTGTTTATCGATCCATAACGAAATTAGACCTGCTTGATCGGAATTGATGATAGTTGAATGAATTGCTGACCGTGAGGGTAAAACGTGTTCAGGTAATTGCTTATCATTATGAAAAACTGAAATTTCTGCAGCCATATTCTTTGGCAATATTTTTTCGTATAATGCCACTTTGTTATAGTAATCTTCTTGAGAAATATCATAATATCTAATTAACGGTAAACATTGATGTAGCGTATTTGCAAGAGCAACGAAATCTGCAGACACCCAATTATCTTGTTCCTTTAGGTGAGCTGTATTAGATATACCCCATTCGATAATTGAATTCCATACTTCGATTTCTTCCATTCCCAAATCCTGTCTTTGAAGCAACGAGATAAGCTCCGATTCCTCCAACAAGAAAAAATCATCAGATCGGAAAATGAAGTGCGGGTCTTCAGCGAGAATCCTTCCCGAATAATCCTTCAACGGCTTGAAGCTTTCATGTAAATTAGCAGCATGTAAAATAGTCACAATGTTTTCTTCGAGCCAAGATGATTTACTCTCTATTAGATGTATTTGTGCATAATTTATCAATTCATTTATTTCTAGTTCATCTGCGGCGACTAATAGTTCAAATACATCCGAACCAAGTTGATCATCCAAGTCTACGACACCTGTGTACATGTATCTTTAAAATAAATAAAACCATTAATCCAATATCTTCCTATTATTAATAAAGAATGTTAAATTAAAAGCATACTTGAGAATCAATTCAAAAACTTTTGGCGTTATATTCGGTTTCTTAAACACAAAAGAATTGCCGTCTTTTTTAGCCCAGTCTTGAGATAATGCCACTCGAAAATATGGAGAACGCGCACGCAATATTAGAGAATGTGCTTGAAACTCTTTATAATTTGCAGTTTCGCCAACACAGATCACAATATTATATTCATAAGAATGTTCGAGAATTCCCGCCAAATCACGGATCAGATTTTTAGTGAACTCGGGCATTCTTTCGTTGTTTAATGATCAATATGTCGTCTTGACAGATGTATTAGAGGAAATGCTCTGGTCTTTACTTTTTATATTGATTGGCTCATATATTTACCTGTAAACACAACAGAAAGTTGATCATTATCTCTATTACATCTGATGATTATCGTTATAATTAAGATACATGTACGTAGTTCGCATTCCATGTAACGGTAATGAAGACGAGTCTGCTACGGCTACGGCTACGGCTACGGATATCGCTATGATTCTGCATTTTTGATTTTTTTAAAACTTAGATCAGCATAAAAGTCATGTACGTACAGTAATTGATTACTTTTCTTTTGGCGCCGCCGGATCCGTTTAAATTTCAAAAATTGATAACGAATTCCAAAATAAATTTTTTCAAAACAAATAGTTCGATCTGATATCGATATTAATCGGCGATTTGAATCGTAGCATCTCTTTGGTTTGGTTCAAAGCCAAATACTTTATGAAAGCGCAGTTTCTTAACGTCAAGTACTGTTTTTAAACAAACCAAACTGAACCGAACCGTTAACATCCATATGCGCACTTCGATGATTTTAGACATTTCTTTCTATTTCTTCTTTTATCTCTGGCTCATCTTATAGTAATGTAACTATTTTGGTTGAGTGCGTTTAATTGGTTTCTCCAGTGATTTATTTTTGAATTTGATATTGGGTTTGTGGAAGGCGAGCTGGAAACTTCACTTGTTTTAATAGTTACTCAAGTATGAGGACCGAATAGTAAGAATTTTACTATTAGCATCAGAGAATTCTTTATTAACCAGGAAAAAATTTCATCTTCTGTTTGTCGAATTCAAAATTAAAGGTTGTACATGTGACTTTAGAATTTATTTTATCAATCTATAGTGACAGAGAAAAAATTAAAAACTATGAATTTAATATTTTAGGTATTTACCTATGTTGTAGAAATTCCTTCCCATTAGATAATAAACTTGTTCGTCAAAGTTCTTCAAAATATTTTTTGCCATGTATTTTTATGTATGTAGTTCCCTTAGCATTGAATGTTTTGTATTTGAAATTAAACTAATAATAATATATGTAATATATTTTAATTATTCCAGATTATTTGTACTTTAGAGCATCTGAATCTATTTTGTATGGTTGATATGGAGCACTCCGGATTATATTGAAACATCTCCGGAGTAAATCCTGAAGTGGGTTATATCGATAATCCCGACAGTCAAAATCTCGAATGGCACAAAATCCTGACAGTTCAAGATCCCGACAGTTCAAGATCCCAATCCCGAATGGTACAAAATCCCGATATTTCAAGATCCCGACAGTTCCGAACTATTAATCAAATAAATGATACTCAATTATTGCATTATATTTTGATTAATAAATACTTTGACAGAAGTGCTCCTGAGTTATTAATCAAATGGATGATATTTAATTAATGCATTACATTTAGATTTATAAAAACTCTAATGAATATTTTGACAGGAAAAATAATCACGTTGCACTTTACTTTTCATTTTACTAGCTTAATATACTAACACTAATATGTATATTATTATAAGATAGTAAAAAAAAAGAACCAAAAGGTTTATGATAAAAAAAGCGTCAAAAGTGTTAAAAGATTTATGCGTCAAATAGTCGAGAAATATGCGTCAAATAATCAAGAGATACGCGTCAAATAATCGAGAGATGCGCGTCAAATAATCGAAAGAAGCAATGCAAATATTTTTACTTTGATTAACTTAGTGCAACTGATTAAGTAGTGTTAGTTATCATTAACATTATCGTTATCGTAAAGCAAACTATCGAACCAGTGTAACCACTGGTTCTTTTATATTAATGTGGTCAGAGAAACTCGTTCATATTGTAATTTGTATATTCCTGAGCTCCAGACTCCGAATTATGAGGTAGGAAGTCTGAGATTTTCTTGACATAATATATTAATCATAAATTGAGAATATTACATAATTGTCTATTGTGAACCTTTCAGGATTTTGTATCTTGAACTGTCAGGATTTTGAACCATTCGGGATCTTTAATTGTCAGGATCTTGTACCATTCGGGATCTTGAATGTCAGGATTATGGGATGTCGTGGTAGACCCGACTGAGACAAACAAACGGATTGTAATAAGGTGCTCTTGGATTATGAAAAGAAAAAATTACTTCAAGACTTTTCATTAACATTAAAATACGAAAATCTTGAGGCCTGTTAAGAACCGGATTATTCAACAAAGATTGATTAAAAATTAAAAGTTCTATCATATTCAGAGCTTTAATAAATTCCGGTTCCAAAAGCCCAAAAGTTCAAAAGTTCAATTCAAAGAATCAAATGTTGACTTTTATTATTATATCTATAAAAAGTGTCGTGTTGGTTTGACCAACTCGGTTTATCAAAAAATGATTTATCCAACTACTTGACGTTAATTTAAGTTTATCGTTATCGTTATGAACATTATGTATATGTATTTACGATTTACCATTACCCGGATTGGAGCTAGCGCTAGTCACACATTATCTGTGGCAGAGCAATCTAACTACAAATGGGTTCTTTGTACATGTACATGTACAGTCGCCACAGAAAGTAACGCCCGATTTGGATGTGCAACATCAACATAAATTTAAATGTGGCGGTTT